ATAAAATATTTATTAATTACTCATAATGAATAGATTTCTGACGTTTTCAAATGCAGTTATATTCTTTCATATATCACATAGAGCGGATGCTTACGCAATATTAAAAGTCATACATCAATTCTGAAACTAATAAAAGAAATCTTATTTTTAGTACAAAAATAGCTATAAAATGGAGATCATATGAGATGTTGGACAATCAAAATCTACGTTCTCCAATCTATAATTCCTCATGCACCGCATCATATTGCCGCAAAAGTGGTTGACCCTTGAAACAGTTTTATGTGCAATTTATAACTGCATAAAAATCATCAGACTATTTTTAGGTTGTGATTTTGGCGCTGACAAACTCACTTTGGAATTCATATAACAAGTAATACAATCAAAACTCGCTTTGCTTTAGCTGATCTCTATATTTGGTAATATCTCTTTGTAGTATTGGCGGAATTTATGTTCGTAGAAGCATATATTGTTCTAGAAGAAGTTCTAGAGTGGTTACACGTTTAACACCTAAATATAATGTATTAAAAAAGGTAATTCGTGTTTTTTATTCCATGCTTTATCCATAAATGATGCATATTTCCGGAATTTAACCTTTAAGATGACGGAATTTATTCGGCGTAGACATTTATGTTGCAGATTTATGGAATTTTTACAGAAAATATAGAAATATAACGGAGTATTCAATAAAATTTTTTATAAATAATAGGTTATACGTTAATCGCTTTATAGTAATGTAAAAATAAAAGTAAATAAATGCATATATATTATATATATATATATATATATATAAAGCCTCAAACTTTTGTTTAATGTGTTAGAAATGCCTGTCAGTAATACTAAGTATATTGAGTCGAACCGAATCATTTTAGTATTTAGAACCAAACATTTCTTTCTGTATATTATACGTATTTAGCTCTGTGCGTTGTTGATTAAGAATATTGTTTAAGTACTGCAGTTCTTTTTTTAGATAATTCAAATTACAAGCGAGGATTCAAATAAATCGTCTTTCATGTAAAAAACGATCAGATAAAATTACAAATCATTAATTAAATAATTTGTTTACATAAACAGGTTTAATGGGAAAAGTTTCAATTTGTTATAAATTAACTTATTATTTGTAAACATTTAACATTATTAAATTTAAGCATAACTTTTACATATTAATCAACAGTCAAATCAGGTGATTTTCACAAAAGACGGAACAAGATTACCATATCTCTTTGTAAAAATTCCTATAAGTTCACAAAATTTTGTGAGACAAAAGAAAAAGGATCACGATAATTCATAATGAAAATCAAGAAGTTTAAGATTTAAACAAAATCATCCATTCAACAAAGAATAGATAAACCCAAAAGAAAACGTCCTATAAAACGTACTGGATTACAGTATCAAATATTTGTAACTCATAGGGGCACATTTCAATCGTCTGCTGATCAAGCTCAAACGATGACCGATAATGATCAATCTAGACAATAGTTACAGGTTCATAATCGTCAGTAATTTGAAACAAACAAATTTCAAGCAGTTGATTGAGACTAAACAATGATTCAAGATACTTAATCATTAGGTCAACAGTTCGTAAATTAAATTTTTCTGTGAAAGCTTTGTCAAATTAGAGATATGTAAACAATGTTGCATTATACATATACAGCATAACAATATAAGATTTTATATTGCACATAGAAATTATTATGTAACTTGATTTAAAAAATTATAATTAAAATAATAAACTTAGTGGTTATTCATAACTATATACCTCCTTACTTTTTATTCACTATTTACTGTATCAGACGGCAATTCTAATTTTCGAGGAAATACGTGAACCAGTGATTGATTTCTGCTAAACTAAAAATTCACATAATTCACGCCGATTTTCACATTGGAATTATTCTTCTACAAAGTAAAAGTAATTTTCATGTTTTAGATCTGTGAATAAGAAAACTTGCGGAATTTATGGGTTTCTCCTGAAGTTCTTCAAGGTAAAAAAATTAAAAAATCCGATATCCAAGGATTCAGTATTGTATAATCATGTGAATGATTGATAATAGGATAGAGACCCACAATGATAGGCTTTTTGCTATCAGTTGTTCACCCTGAATTTTATGTAGAATTGGCTGAACAATAAACGGACCCATGCCTATAATATTGCTAAAAAAAACAACTTTAGAATGGATCAGAATGTTGATAGACAAAGATACGCTGCTTTATGTATTTATGATGCTAATAAGTACAGGCTAAAATCGAACAGTCAAATATTCAGATACTAGTAAGATAAATTAGCCTCTGCATTCCTGACGATGTGGATGAAAATAGAATAAATACGTTCAAAAGTTTTCCAACTAGAAAATATAAAATTGAAATAATATAATAATGAAGATTATTGGATATAAGTTGCTAAAATATGCCAGCGGTGTTCAACATTACAATTGCTATATCTCAAAAAACTAATTAAACGGCTAATATCTGATATACTAAGTAAAAATGCTTGGCACACCAAAAATCCCTTTTTGACTCTGATTTTATCTCTAACCTTACCCTACCTTATAAAAATCTATCCTAAATTAATACTAAAATTGTAATAAAAATACATTTGGTATTGAACACCACTAATATGTTTTAGTACTACTCATTAAATAAATTTAAATTTTATTTTAGTATACATAGTATCCATCATATTCATTTAAATAAATCTGCAATGTTATCATTTTTATAAATGACTTTTTCTCCGTGTAAAATGCTAAGACTTTCAACGTCATTGTTTAAAGTGATATGACGGTCCGCATATTGAATATTAACCGGTTTTTTTGATTTAATTAAAAAAGAAATTTCATTAGTTTGCATTAATGAACCTAAACTCGTTTCATAATTATTGGTTGAGAAAGAAATTCTTATAGTATCATTTTCTTTTTGAAATTTAAAGGTCACAAAACATTGCTTAAAACAATAATAAAGATATTCGACTGTCACTAATTAAAAAATTTGTTTAGTATTAGATTAAAAAAATTTAATTGAAATATAGAAACGTACTTTTTCTTTAAAAAATTTTCGATATTATCAATTTTCTATCGGTATAAGTATAGTGGATAGCGTAAGATGTCAAAGAATTTGTAAAGGTTGCAGAGAGGGTGACTCAACCTAACCTAACACACTTCAAATAATTATTTGGCCAGGTCGGTATTACAGTACTCAAACCTTAAAAGATGGTACGTGTGTACGTACGTACAAAAGATAAGTTGTGACTCACAATGGTGCGTTGTGAAGGGGTAATGTGACCCGGCCGCAGCAAAAAACGTGATCCAAGTATACTGTATGACTCGGGACCTGAAATGCGCATTGATCGACAAAAGGAATTTTAATAAATGCCAATTAGAGTTTGGCTTAAGGCGATGCTCCATTGAAGACGCCTCTGATATACAATGGTGGAAACTAAAGTTATAGTCATAAAATGAGTATGAATTACTCATCGTTAGTCATAGATCCCCGATACTTTAAATAGTCATATTGGTTAGAGATTCTAATCGTTGTAGCAAAGCCCCAAGGTTATCTGTAATGTATAAATAACCTTGACTTCAATATCTAAAAAGTAGTGAAGTATTATAATAATAAAGACCATCTAACGATATCCCCAAGGATTCTAGTGCAGTAGGATCCTTGGCTCTCGGACCAACTATTCCACGCCCTCTTTCGAATAGCCTTGTCTTTTTGGTTGTGTTTTAGCTATGAATTATAGTCACCCCAAGATTCACCTTTTACAGCGTACAAAAGTAATGCCAGGCATAACTAAGTTATATCTTTATTATTATTATTATTATTATTGTGTTAAAAAATGAACAGAACGGCCGCAGAGCTCCGTGAACTCGGAATGAAATACCTGACGTCGAAAAAGATGAAAAACAGTCCCGAATACTACTAAAATCCGCAAATATCGCACGTATGGGTTGCAATTGCAATAAATAATCATGTCGTAACTAGTTTTGAATAAACCGAAATAGTTTCGACCACATGTATAATTTGTCCTGTGTAATATATGCAGACTTATGAGACACAGATTATGCCTAATTTTAAGTGAGTATTTTTTAAAATCGAAAAAAAAAATTACATTATATTCTGTATCGATACAGTAATGTTGTTAGTCAAAATTGTTTTTAGCTTATAGAAATATTTCGACATTTGATATTTAGTCCACCGAAATACTAAAGTAATACCGAAATTCTAAATTTGCCGAAAATGTCGAAATAATGTCAAAGTGTCTAATTAATGTCGAAATGTCTAAATTAAAAGAAAATATAAACTTATTTATTTAGCAAGTATCCGATCCGATCTTGCTTATTCTGTGGATTTCATGCTACTTAAAATAAATTTGATTTAAAAACGGTTGCGTGCCTCTATCAAGCAGGTTTAATTATATATACTTTTCTAAACGATATCAGATTGAAAATTTCCCACATGTTATGCGTGCTTTTTTTCATACAGTACTCACTATGCTAAATATTAATAACTTAAATCTGAATTACTATCAACTCAAAAATCAGTTACTTTTAATGTATAAGCTCTCTCTACTATTAATCTAGACATTTAGTCATATAGTACGTATCTATATATTTAGTTAACTATTTAGACAAATTAGAATTTTGACATTTCGACACAAATTTGTATAAATATTTGACTTTTAGGGTATTTCGACTAACAACATTACGACACAGTATACTTTTCTAAGCAGTTTGAAACCAATTTCATAAAAATTATACTTAAGAATTACTATGTTGTCCATTTTTAGTTATCGTTATTGGGAAGTTATATAAAAAATGATGTGGTTGGACAGCATTTCGTACGTACGTATGTGTAACTATAGAAAATAATCCAAAAATAGCTCACTCCTGCATTCGGTATCGGTATGTGCAACAATTTTTTGTTCTATTTTTACATCCATTTCCGAAGTCCGATAGAAGTGATTTTTATAAATTGTTTCTTTCGCGATAAATTTTATTCATAAAAAAAAAATGTCATCAGACAATTCATATACCAGGTACGTAAATATTTTAGCATATATGTTGTATTTTGCGCTATAATTCTATAACTCATTGTGTGTTTTCATTATAAAGAGATTTAAAAGACGATAATGATGATGTTATGAAACTATCATTGACAAAAGGAAATTTAGGCGTTGAACTTTGTGAATCGCAAATATTAAACGAAAATTCAGTCGTTAAACAATTTATTGGTGATTTTGCTGTAGAAATTCTTCCAAGGCTGTATTTGGGAAGGTTGTAAAAAAAAAATTTGTTTATATTAAAGTTAAGCTTAAAAATTGATTTCATGATTCCTTTATTGAGTACAGTAAACGAGCAGCTTTAAACAAAGATTGGTTGAAATATCATAAAATTACAAATATTCTTACTATTTCTCTGAACATTAGACCTCGTTTTCCTGAAGTAATTTACAAAATGTTATTTTTCGTTTTTTTTTAACTTTATCAGAAATATTGATGACTCATAAGCCTGTTTTAAATTAGTCATTCGTATATAAAGTGATCGCAATAAAAGATAGCGAATTTCAAAATATATCAAAATATTTCGATGAAACTTTTATGTTTATTCAAAATGGTTTAGATCAAGAAGATAGAAGAATTCTTGTTCATTGGTACGTCTAATTTGACCTTTAGATTTTGTTATAGAATTATTTGTAGTAACATATGTTTATCAAATAGCGAAATGGGAATTTCACGTAGCCCAAGTGGTATGCACTTAAGTGTTAGATTAACAAGTTAAATTTTAATATTTCTAACTTCTTTTTTTTTTACGAAAAAGTTGTTATTGCTTATATAATGAGATCTCAGAAGAAATCATTAAAGGATGCATTAGCCTTTGTTCAAGAAAGACGACCAATTGTTATGTTAGTAACTAACAAGTTCTCATTTAAAATATTTATAGCACAATTACGTACTAGATTTAACTTTTCTATTTATCATAGGCCAAATCAAGGTTTTTATAAGCAACTAGAAGAATTCGAGACAGAATTATCGCTTAATAACAATTCAGATTCAGAATCGAAATTAATGAATCAAATCGGTAAAAATTTTATAATCGATTATTTAGGTCAATTTGCGTAAATTATTTTTGTCACATTATGTTTAATTCAGTCTTTTGGAATGCATAGATATCGAATTTTCGAGTGAATAATTGTATAACATTATTCAAGTAAATGTATATGGTAATATAAGATGTATAATAGAATGTAGCTTTACCTATCGGATAGGATTTTAAATATGTAACTGTGGTTCGACAATGGAATGTTTTGGTTTCAAATTATATTTTATCAAAATCCTGTGATATATTTATAGAGTAATTTGTATTGATAATAAAATAAATCGTTATAACCATTTAAGTCAAAAAAAAAAACTAGAGTTAACAAGCTTCTTTTTTTCATAAAGTTAATTTGGTTTGCTAACATTTAAAAAATTCGTATTTCGCATTATAATATGAATCACTTCAATTAATCGCAATCACTAGCAAAATTGCATTGGAAAAGCTGATTGAGAATACATAAGAAATAAAATTCTTCTTTGCTCACGGATATATTCAAATAAAAATAATCTCAAAAAAAATTTAATAAAGCAGTCATGTCACAGATCACTAGCTCGCGTTGTGAAAGCCAATTATAGTACATGTTTAGTACGGTCTATTATTTTTTCTTTTTCATAGTAAACATGGGTCGTATAACAGTTGTTATACGCCAAATTGACTCACACAAACTCACGTTATAACAGAAAAAGAAAAATAAATCCGTTATTGGATGTTTCGCATCCAATAACAGCGTATCTGGCTTTGAATTTAATGTGCTTGACAACCTGAGCCCCTTCGGGGCCCAGGTTAGCACATTAAATTCAAAGCCAGATACTTCTTTTATTTGTCATCCAAAATAATCATTCCGTGATCCTTCGGATCACGGCATTCTTATTTCTCCTGCCAAATAAAACTGTTATTGGATGCTACACATCCAATAACTATTTATTATATAATAAAATATTCACATTCTGTTAGGCAAAGTGAAAATCTAGAAATTTTATAAAGATTTCTATTATTCATTCGGTAATGTTCACATGTTAAATTATTTGTAAAAATTTTTCTTTCACATTATTTACATTATTTTATTAATTCTTTTTTACAATAAAAAAAAAAACCAAATCTAGAATTTTAAGTAATTATATAACTGATAATGCAAATAAATCTTTCAAATTAATAACAATTTACATTCAACTTTTTTAATTGCTTTGCAGCTGTATCATTACCTTCCAAAGCAGCCGTCTTTAAATAACTTAATCCAAGTCCCTTATCAGGTTTTACCTTAAGTTTTCCATTGAAATAAATATCACCCAAAACTTGTGCAGCATCAGCATGCCTATTACTAGCAGCTAATGTTAAATAATTAAGAAATTCTTTACGTTTCTCTTCATTATTAGTAGCTTCAGGATATAATGAAACAGCATAACGAAATTGAGCATCAGGAATATTACCATCAGCAGCTATTTTAAAATATTCGTTTGCTTGTTTTTCATCTTTTTTTACAAAATATCCTACATATAAATAATATCCTTTCCAATAATTTGCCAATACATTACCAAGATTAGCATTTTCATCAAAACATTTCCATGCTTTTTCATGATCTCTCTTTTGATGATATTCTATTCCTTCATCAAGAGTCATTATAGCATCAACCATTTCAATATTTTCATCTACATCAATATCCATATTATCAAGATTTGAAAATAAAAAAGGTACCTCAAATTGCGGTATTTTGGAATTTTTTGCTGTAATTGTTCCATCAAAGTCTATTGTCCCATCTGTAAAAAGTCCGGAAGTAGTAACATTGATTGGATAATCTAAAGCTAGCTTTTCAAATGCTTCAGACATTTTCAAAATGGATATTCGCTGATGTGGTGTATGATGCCATGCTAATTTATGTATAAAGTTAAATTTTAGTCTTATATTTAGGGATGGCAACGACTGGCTATTTTCGGCTAGCCGTTTTGTAGTATCTCGTGATCCAAATGATATGATTTTAGCACCATTCGATTCGTCTCAATGAGACAAATCGAATGGAACCGAAATCATCCAATTTTGGATCACTGGATCGCGAGATAGAGCCAACGGCTAGCCGAAAATAGCCAGCCGTTGCCATCCCTAATTATATTTCTTATACTAAAAATAATCTGATAAGAATGATAAACAAAATAATGAATTACCTTCATCAATAATTTTCATAAATGTTTTTTGAATATTATAATCTTTAGGATCATTAAAATTTCCTGATAAAAGCCGTTCTCGATTACCACGTAGAACATGATTCATTACTTCTTGAAAATTCTTTTTTTCATAAGGAATTTTTTCATAGCAAAGTTCCCAAATGAGCATTCCGAAACTTTTAAAAATTTTTATAATGAGAATAAAACTATGATACTAATGATTCATACAAAAGTAATAAATAAATACCTGTAAATTTCACAATTGAGAGTATAATTTAATTCGTTACATTTATCTTTTTTATATTTTTCTATCTGTTCGGGAGCCATCCAACGAACAACATTCATTAATTCACTTGAAAGATTGATAGAAATCATCTCATCAACACCTCGCGCATACTTGAAATTTCCAAGTTTTGGATTTAAATTTTGTGTTATCTATATTTAATATAAAGTGTTTTAGTAACTTTGTAAATCTAAAAATCTAATAATAACTCCAATAATAAATGTAGTATTATATATACTTACAAAAATATTCTCACATCTGATATCATGATGAAAAACGTTTACTTCACGTAAGAATAAAATGCCACGACAAATATCACGAATCATTTGTATTTTTCTAGTCCAAGCGATATCATAAGAACAATAAAGTTCTCTCAAACTTCTATGTTCAGCCCATTCTAAAACCATTGTTACACTGTTTAACCTTGATAAACCATAAAAACGAAGAATGTTAGGTGATAGACTTAATTTTTCAAGGATTGATAATTCAGTTTGACGTTTCTCAAAATCCATAATAGGTTTACATGCAACATCGAATCCTTTATAAATTTTCTTAATAATATGTTGATGTGAACCACGAGCATCAGTAGTTTTACGATAAGACGGATCAAACAATTCATTTGGTCTAATTTCTGGAGCTTTAGCTTGTTCTTTAGATCTTTTGGCCATTTCGAGTATATTAAATATTTCTTGAACTACGGTATCAATATTTTCAATTTTTTGAAAAGTATCATTCAGTTTATTGCTATTATCTTTAATACCAGTTTCGATTTTTTCAAGCGTCTGCCAAGTAAAGAAAAAATAATAATAATAATGTATATTAATTACATAACTGATCGTATAATTTAAAAAAAAAATACGTATATAATTATTTTAATTAAAAATACTTCTTCAATTTCTTTTAAAGATTCTTCAACTTCTTCAGCTTCAGCTCTTCTTTCTTCTTCATTAGCAATAGCCATAGAAAAATTTAAATCTTTCATACAATCATCATATTCACTTGTTAATTGAATATATTGATCTTTAATTTTTTTAGCACTAATTAAAGTTCTATAACCTTTAAGATTTGAAACTAATAAAGTATAATCTTTAATTCTTTTTAAAATATTTTCAAATCTTATAAAAGCTAAATAATAAGCTTTTGATAAAAAAAATTTTTCATGTTCTTCTTTTCTTCTCATCATTTTTTTCATTGCGAATTCTGCTGTTTGAACTCTTTCTACCATTAATAAACATAATCTTCTATTACATTCGGAATTTTCAAATATTTGATCAATTTCTTTAACTAATGTTGCTATTGATGAAATTATAGGTGTATATGCTCCTAAAATTTCAGCTGCTGTTTTAAAAGTTGTGAATGCTACTTCGGAAATTTTTGTATTTGGATCTGGTGGTCCTGACATTATTATGCTTGAACCTTATGTACGTACGTATAAGTTACTAATACAAGTTGGGTTGTTACTATAAATTAAAGTACTAGATGGTACGTAACGATAATGATAAACGAAAGTTTTATTAACGTTAAGTTTTGATTACTTAAGATACGTCATAAAGTACAGTATATATTAATATGCTATCAAGCAATCAACAGGTTATCAACAAATTAAACCACAAACATGCCAAAGTTATTCATTATAACATTTACAAATGTTACACAAAATTAGCCAATAAAATTTTCTTATTTTGCTCGGATTGACATAGAAAATCTAATTTGACATCTGATACGTAAATTATAAATAGAATATTTAATCATATAATATTGGTATGGAAAATAATTAAGCAATGCTCCACTAAATATGGTTAAAATACAATGCATTGTCTTTTATGATTATCTTTTTTTAGTGCTTAACCTTCGATAAGTGTCCTATAATTTTGGTCACGTTATTGTCCGGAGCGTAGCGAAGGACTTACAATCAGTGTCTGAAATTGGGTTGCGGAGTCTGCGGACCGCAACAAAATTTTAAATTCCCGCAACCAAAATCTGAAGTGCACATGCAAATTCCGCATATAAATTTGCAAATTTTACCTATAAATTTCGATTAAATGTTCATGTGCGCAACTAAATTTTATAAATTTTTATAATCCGCAAGTCGTTTATTTTAATTGGTTGCAGCCCGCAACTAATTTAAAAATTGAATTTCAGACACTGCTTACAATAGATTAAATACGTATGTACCAAAAAATGTCATGGATTCCGATCATCTGACAACCTACCTGCATATTCTTGCATATTCATGTAACTTATCTGTTATGCTCCGGACATCCTGTTTTCCTACAGTTTTGACTAATAGAAATAACTACACATAATGCATAAATTTTAAATTTTTACATCTATTACTATATCTTGACAGCCGCCAAACAAAATTTGATGAAATTTTTTTTATTTTGTTTCAACAAGTAAGTGAAAATCAAAATAAAAACATTCATCGAGTTTGGTTTGTTGGTTATCGAGATAACTTCATTTAAGTTTTTTAAAAAAATCTATTGCGACTTTAATTTTAATTGGCGGTTTAATTTATCGATAAGACGCTCACCAAACCAAATTCGAAGAAATTTTTTTTATTTTATTTTGCAATTATGTAGAATCAAAATAAAAAAAATCATCGAATTTGATTTGGTGAGTGTCAAGATATCTTTGTTTAAATTTTAAAAGGATAAGTCTATTCGTAACAGCCTGTTACATGCTTATTTGTAACAGTTTGACCTATAACTCAAAATGTTACTAAGATAATCTCTTTTGCGCTACTAATGAAAAATGTTCCTCTCGCGATTTTGTATTAATCTTGATACTAACTCTAAACCTAACCTAACACTAACCCTAACACTAACACTAATCTTATCACTAACCCTAACACTAACCCTAATACTAACCCAACATTAATAAACTGTTACAAATAGATATTTCCATATAGTAAATATATTTGGCAAAATCAAAGGTTTGCAAAGAACTTTAGACTAGTGTTGTAAGCCGACTAGGCAGCCGCAGCTAAGCCTGCTTAGCCAACTAGCCAGCTGAAATAATATGGTCAGCTGGCTAATGCGGCTAATAGTTACATGATTTATGAATAGTAGAATTACGATAAATTCCAAGAAGGAAAATGAATAAGCATAAAATACTTTGAGAAAATTTCCGAAGTATTCCGAAAAATAGACTATTAGTCTGCTGTTAGCCAGCCGCTTAGCCGATGTTTTAATCGGCTGGCTTAGCCAACCGACTAAAGTCATGTGGCTTACAACACTACTTTAGACAAAGATATCTCGACAATCACAAACCTAAATTCGATGAAAACTTTTTTATTTTGATTTAACATAGTTGGAAATAAGTTTCATTGAACTTAGCATTGTGATTGTCGAGATATCTTCGTTCAAAATTTTTTAAAAATTCTGACTTAAATTATGATTTAATTTATTTGACGAACTTTAAATGAAGATATATCGACACTACCTAACCAAACTCGATAAACTTTTTTGTTTTGATTTAGCATACTCGTAGAACCAAAATAAAAAATTATCGGATTTTGTTTGGCGGCTTTCAAGATATCTTTGTTTAAAAAATTAAAATTTATGTAGTGATCTACATTATGTGTAGTTATTTCTATTGGTCAAATTTTGGGTTAGTTACGAATCATGTGGTGTTATTGATATTTCCAAAAAAATTGAAAGATTATACGTATAATGACGAATATTTATTTGGTTAACTCAAGGGCATGCCGTTTTATTACGTATTTATTATGTGATCCTTACAATAACTCAAATAAAAATGTGCTATGTACAGAAATTTTTTATTAAAAATATAAATTAAAACCTCTTTAAAAATGCTAAACAATTTATTTAGAGCATAAAACTCACTATACATTAGAAAATTTTAAGTTATAAGATATTAAATATATATTAGGTCTACGTTGCGAATGTTAAAAATTCAAATACTCATACTAGAATTGTTTTCCTCTATGTATCCCTTGGCTAGGCCATTTCATACTAAAAAAACTATTATTATATTCTTTATTTTTGTAGCGATTCCTCCATTCATTTTTATATTTATTAGTTTTTTCAAGTTCGTTCAAACCATTTTTGATTTAATTTTTTATGGCGTACTTATTATTATATTCTGTATACTTTCAAAATCACTAGCCGGGTTTTTTTCTATAATTTATTTTGTATTTCAAATATTACTCTTACTTTTACTTCAAACCATTGCAGCAAATTCTTGGCCAGCTGCTATTCTTACAGGTTTTATTATTCTAGTGACTGTTTCTATTTTTTTTCGCACTAGATATTTACTTTTTTCCTTAGTTATATATGTCCTCCTATATATCGCTGATTTTTTTGCTTTAAAACTTATGTTTTCAAATGTATATGAAATTCGATCAAATGCAGTAACAGTACTTTATATTATTTTTTCGTTTTATGTTCCAAGAATTTTATTTAACTTTATTCTTTCATGTATATCACAAACTACTTCTGGTATTTACTTTTTTTGTCAATATCGTCAATTATTTATCCTTATACTTGAAACTTCACTTGATCGTCCTTTAAGTCCATGTGAATTAGTAATCCTTGAAAATTTCAGACCTGGAATTGATACAATAGTTTATGATCATTATGATAATTATGATATTCGTAATTGTTGTGGGATCCATCCTACAGATGGTTCTCCGCACATATTTAAATTTATTGAAGAAATACATTCTTATATTTTTCTAACCCCAAAGGATCAGCATCATTCCCTATATCTTAAATAATTATTGCTTTTTGCATTCTCATTAATTAAAATAATGTATTTGTCTTGATTTGAGTATAAACATATATATACATTTTTTTGCAAAATAAAACCTATTTTTATCAGATGCAAATTAATGTGTGAATAACATGTACATTATATTATATACGTAGTAAAGCATTAAGAATAAATTCACATCTTTTCAAAATAACAGAAATACTGTAGTGCATTTGATTCGGGCTACTTGATTGTTACTGGGATACTTTTCATGAATGTTAGAATTTACAATTGAATAGTACCTCATATTATTTAAAGAGGTACTTCTTTAAAGGGGACTATATGTGACGCTGTACGGTAATACAGGTTTTGGCAATCAATTTCGGACACCCCTATCAAGAATGCACCTACTTTTATGTGATCATTATTCTATTTGCAGTAAATTGAATTAAAAAAAACCCCCGTCCGTCCGTTATCAGGGGCTCCTGAGGCTCCCGAATTTATTTTTTTTCTATTTTTATCTTTTTTTTACTTTTTCTATATCATTGTACCGGTTACGTTCTAAAAGTATAAGCTTAGCATAGTTAGTCAATATAGTAGTAATGTAAAATTAACAAGATCATAGCCTC